CTCCTGTCTTTATGGTATTGTTTAGGGGGTAGTGATGATAGAAATCATGGTGGACATGACATTGAAGTGGAGGATGGAGTGGAAAGTTTGGTGCTTTTCCTACTTTTCCTTTCCCATTTTCTTGATTAATATATATTTTTCTCAAAAGCATTAGTACATTATGCTTTAGCTGTTGGTACGTTTTCTCTAGTTAAAGTTACATAATGAACGGATATCCTATCTGGAAAACAAAATCAATGTAAAACCGTTATTATGTGCTAATTAATAGAAGTATTAAAAGATAATTAGTTTATGGCACTTTTTTTTGGGGGAGGGGGGGATGCCTTGGAAACTGACTTTTACAAAAAACGATGCCTTCCTTCCTTTAGGCTAAAAGTTCAAAAAGTGGGGGCCCCGTGTGATAAGTATTCACCAATTTGGAGAAGAAAAATTCCTCAAGGACCCAAAATATAGGACCAATAAGAAGGACAAGTGAGGTGTCCACCTCCTATTGGATAATGAATTGGCCATCATTAATGATGGCCAATTCATTATCCAATAGGAGGTGGACACCTCACTTGTCCCCCCTATTGGTCCCATATTTTGGGACCCTGTAGCAAAGCTCTTTAGAGAATGTCATGCAAAAAGTTCTAGCTCTCTTGTCCCCACATTTCCAAATTTTCAATGCATTGCATTGAATAGAGAATGTCATACATTGCGTTTGCGATCCAGTGAATTTTTAATATAATATATGATTTTGAATATAATATATAAAAAATTTAATGGAATGACCTATGCGAATGATTAGTTTCAGGGAAGATTCAGTAAATAAGAACTCACCAAATTGGATCAGAATGTCATACGCAAAGGTTTGTCTTTCTCCTTGGTTAAGTACTGCTAACGGTATTATCTGTTAATGATGCTATTTTCACAATTAGACAAACGGAAAGGTGAACAATATCATTTCATTATTGATTTGAAGGAGGTTATAATATTACATTATAATCCTTGTGGTCTCATCATAACTTCAGAATTTTGATATATTAAAATGATTCTCTAACATCCTAAGATCACGAATTTAAAAGAGGATTAAAAACATTATAATGCTAATTTAGTCCAAGTTCGTCCCATAAAAGGGAGCTCAACTTATGAGAAGTATCTAGATATAACATTATAAGGGGTTGTTTGGTTGTATGTTTTTACCATGTAAAAGGACAAAAAATGTAAAAAAGTGGGTCCCAATGTCAGTTTTCATCACTTTACATTGTTTGTTTAAATTCTCTTTTACATGAAAAGCTTACACCTTTTGATGAGGTGTCACCGAAAACAAAATCATCAAAATTAGGAGTGATTTTGTTGGAAAGCTGACACAATGTCATAAATGTGTCCAAAAAAATAATAAAAAAATCAAAAAACCTTGTAGAAAGTGCTGAGTTGGATAACCACTTTCCATTTTATGTCATAAATATTCTAGTTTACATTATACTATACAAACAATGTAATACTATTATTTTATGATTCATAAAGATTCCTAACCAAACAATGTAAACACTTGAATAGAAAGTGGTGAGGTGGATAATCACTTTCTATTTTGTGTCATAAATACTCTAGTTTCCAAAAGTCATCCAAACAACCCCTAACCCTCAACGAACTTTGAAGTTTTGATATAGCAACATAACACTTCGGCAATCAATAGACAGAAATCTTGTATAATAATTTTGTTTTTACTTAGTAGAACCAAAAACAAAAAATATAGTTCCGGAGCCGCTATTCTTAAGTCATAGGCTGAGGGTCTTAGCATTAAATTGAGCCAAGAGAATGTCATACATTGCACTATCTATGACACGACTCATGTTGAGTTCATGAGAATTCAATAAGCTTTAACGCCTCTATATATCTTTGCGTGTAATCTAAATACCATGGCTTTTAGGTATGAGAAGCTAGCACATGGGAAGTGATGAAAAGCCATGTGTTTGGTGATGTTGGACTTCTTTACTTTTTAGGTACGTGGACCAATTCATCAAGTTTGGTTTCGCGTGGGAACAACAAGTGGAGAGCAATAGAAGTTTTTGCCCGTGAGAGGATAACTTCCACTATTCTCGTTCTTGTATCATTATCGCAACGTTGCGAGAATAAACAATAGTAGTCGAGCGGCTGTTTGGTTCCCTGTTTTTGAGGAAAATGCTCTCTTGAAAGCCTGTCAAAAGTGTTATTTTTTGGCAGGTTTTCAAACAAAATCGCCTCTTTTAAAAGCCTGCCAAAAAGTGACACTTCGGCAGGCTTTCAAGAGAAAAAATTTCTAACCAAACGGACCCTAAGAACTTTTGTTGGGAAATGATATTAACCAAAAAGGGAAATAATAAAAAAAGTACATAATTATTCAATGTGGGACTAAAACAAGCTACTTCAACTTCTCTAGTATACTAAATACTCCAATATTCATTTTCGAACGGGAGCATATATATCAACCATGTCAGCTTGTATAAGAACAATAGCCTTTCTCCACGCATATTGTAGAGAGAATATCACCTAACTAACCATGTAGTTATCACTAAGTTGGCTAGATGGATATATCTCAATATTTCTCAAAATCTCTTCCAAGTAGCGCTTAATTAAACTCCTAATAGAAGAAATTATTGATAAGAAGAGGAAGACTCCGCTAATCTGCCAACCTTTATGTCATGATCTTAAAATGGTTAAAATGATGGGAAAACCTACCTCCTAGGCTTAATAGTCAATAAGTTTATGGTCAAATAAAGAACCTTGAGCCAAAATAAAATTTGAAGGGGTTCACTTGTAAGTCCGACCGCGTAAATCAAAAAAGAGAGTTTAGTTAGTTCTAGAGTGAGGCGTGGTGTCACAATCACAACCGTCGAGTCGGCATCAAACGGTTGTTAGCAGCTGTCTCATGTGCCTTGGCCTCTTTGGGAAACATATGGAATCATATCTTTTCAAAGCCTGTTGAGAAGCAACTAGGAAAGTTTCACCTATGATCTATCTATCAAAATATATGTTTGGCCATCTATATTAACAAAAAACTGAATTCTTAACCCCCATCATTGCTATGTGCATGCAAAGCGAATCAACCCCAAGCAGCACCTCACAGGATTCGAACCCAACAACCTCCACATGGAAATCTACCAAATATTGATACCGGCTCCCTTTAGGCTTTCCACATCTAGAATTCATCGACATTGATCCGTATAGCTCGTAGATAATCATGATTCTCTCTTCTTTCTTTACAAATTTTTTTTAAAGGTAAAGAGTACTGTCCTGCTGCAATAGCTCCAAGTTGAATATGGAAATCAGCTGACATAGGTTAAAATGAATCATCAGAACAAAAGCTGCATAATCATGCAACTCAACTATTGAGTTGTCGAATACACTGGGCGGAACAAGTATGTTAGTTTAAAAATCTTGCCATCCCTACAATATGACTATCATCACATCTGTCAACCCTCATCGCATCTTTGGAGTTTTGGTGTAGTAGAAGGGGGTCTAAGATGGTCTTAGAGAAACCTAGGTTAAAATCACACCGGACACACTCAAGCAGATTTTACAAAAAAACAAGGTACCGTTGCGTTTAATAGCCTATGTTTTGATCAGCGGAAGGGGCACAAAAACAAGCAAACAGAAAATCATAAACTTCTCGAAATATTTGCTGAACTTTTTCACAAGATGATATTGCAATCTCACAGACAAGCTGGAGCTAATTACCCTGGTAATCTACAAATTACAAGCAGACGGTAGAATGTTACTGGAGTGGTTCCAACAGAATAATTATGTGGACCTTAAAGGAAAGATGAATGTGATTCTTAAACAAAAGCTAGAGTCAATTTCCAAGGTGATTCAGTAGCCGTAGATGCACAAGTAGTACTAAAGAAATTTTGTGGGATAAGTTCCTAAAGATTCTAATTTGGCAGAGGATTAGAGTAATTTGGAGGGTTGAATTTTCTCTTTTTAGGTTAAATGCTTGATTTATTGTTCGTTATACCTCAATATCAAATCACCAGATTCTCCAGATTGAAGACACTTAGGAAACAAGATGGACTCTCATTATTCAGCATGAGCGCTACAGCAGCTGAAACCCTCAGCAGGTACTAACAACTTGATGCTTTAATGACGCACAAAGAGACATAAATGTATTGTCAAATTTGACAATAGCACACGTGTGTGAAACTGGAGTTAGCAGTCCAGCTGACAGCTAATATTGATCCTGGTCTAGAATCAATCAAGTCCTCAACAAATGAGCATTAGTTCAAATGACAGGAATCATTCTAATAAAAAATGCCCGCTCTTTATGCAACCCAGCAATTGATTTGTGAGATGCACTAGGTAGATAAAACAGGCAACGCTAAAATCCTGTCATAACTATAATATGGGGATACAAGATAGAAGCATTATCCAGATGTTACTATAACATTGTGGACTCCGAACTGCACTAGATATTAGGCTATAATGACCCTTACATGAGATACAGTTGTAATTCATAGACAAATATTAGGGCTCAAGGCTTCTGTCTTGCTGAACTACAAGCTGTAGAGCAGAGGGTAATAATGTCATTTAATGATCTAAACTGAACAAAGCTTCTGTCTCGCTGAACTTCACATGAAGTGTGGATAAAATGCAATAAAGAGAACCTAAAGCTAATTTCCTTGGTGGCTTGGTGATATAGAAGTTGTAAAGCAGAGGGATAAATATTATGGACTAGAATGGAATACTAGGTTATGTTGATGTTTACATGAGATACAAAACTGCAACTCATAAACAGAAGCCTTTGCATTGGAAACAATCTGAATCGAGCTACTTACTATAACCATATGCATATCAGAGATATCCAAAACCATATAAAGGTTAATATGATCCAAACAACCACACATAAGTTCAATGATACCACATAGAAAGTCAAATCATGTAGTGCACACTCAAAGACAAGGTAGGGTTAAAAGATGTGATATTAAAACGCCATGAACTTTTGATCCTATGCGTTCTCATTTCCAGAAACATAATAGTAGAATATGTAAGACAACAAAATATTCTAATTGAAACATATACGAGACACTAGCCATTCTATCCATTTATGCGATACAAAAAAGGCACATTAAAAAGTAAAATATCCTACCTCAACACATAAATAAAAATGAAACTTTCCATCAAAAACACACTATTCATTTGCATTTAAAGAACAAAGTAAAAGTTCCCTGTTACCTCAAAACTGCAATCATCAAATAAATTGCAACATATCAAACAACCTCAAGCTCGAAAACCTCCTCTTCTTCTACTTCTTTTCAATGGCCAACAATATAGCATCCACAGGAAACCACAAATCTGCTTCTGAAACCAACGATCCCACAACACTCTGAATCTTGCTCAACTCATCACGAAACTCAGAATTCAAGACCATATACGAGAAATGCTCGTCCAAGACCAACTTCAACCCCTTCACAACCTCCTCAAGTGTCGGTATACTCTCACAACTGCTCAATCCCAAAACTGTTGCAGCTAAAGGGCAACCTGTAGCCTGAGGAAATCTCTCGTACTTCTCCAACCACTTCATGAAATATCTCACGAGACCCAAAACCTCAAACCCATCAAGCCTCGAAATCGCCGAAGACAACACTAGCCCATCGACTCTTCCCAAACTAAAAACATAATGCAAGCAAACTTCTGAAGAATAGAACCCATCATGAGCCATCATTAGGATAACCGAAGCCTGTCTTGCTAAGTTCAAAGCTTCTTTAGACAAACCCTTCTCTTTTACCTTCTCAATTGCAAAAATTGCTTCCTTTTCCCATTCTTTTCTAACCCTAATCATCCCATCATAAGAATCCTTGCTCGGTGATAAAAAGAACTTAAGAACTGTATGAATCTCCGAAGCCTGAAGGTTTGAGATTTTCCTCACACACAAACAAATCAACTCAGTTCGATTCTTTTCAGCCAATTTCTCTACCAGCTTGAAAGAATTCAAATTACCCAGAAGTTTCCTTTCAACTACAATCTCCAAAACATCCCAAATCTCAAAAAGAACACAACATTCCGCAATTAAGCCCGCAACCTCTCTACTAATCAAAACCCCTAATTTGTCAAACGCGGCGAGAGTGAAATTGGAGCCCGAGTCGATTGGGACCTGGAGCTTAGAAGAACAATTGTTGAAGAATGAGTTGATGAGAGAAATGAACGCACCTTTGGTGAAATTTCTAGGGTTTTTTAGTTTGGTCTTGAGATCGAGGCAGAGGCCGTTGATGAGCTCGTTGAGATCGGAGTCGAGGGCGGGGGTTCTCCATTCGGATGAGGGTTTGGTTAGGGTTAGGGTTTCGGATTGAGGGGGGGTTTGTAAATTGGGAATGATTTGGTCGGAGCTGGAGATTATTGGGAAGTTGGAGTGGGGCGGCGAGAGCTTGCCAGCGGCA